GCCACTGCACTCCAGTCTGGGTGACAGAGTGAGACTCCAACTCAAAAAAAAAAAAAAAAAAAGAGCCAGGTGTGGTAGTGCACACCACTAGTTCCAGCTACTTGGAAGGCTGAGGTGGAAGGATCGCCTAAGCCCAGTGGGTGGCTGTGAGCGTGTGTGCCACTGCACTCCAGCCTGGGCAACAGAGTGAGACTCCAACCAAAGAAAAAAAAGTCCAATGTATATAGATGGAACAGGGCCCTAAAACAAAATTTTCCGCCAGATGCCAATATGTGTCATTGACATGAAGATCTAAAGTGAGATGCTTAGACACCTGATGGAGATTTTTCTAAGGAAATGATAAAAATCTGACCCAAGACATTGAAACCCCTTGCCCACTTTGAGACTCTGGAAAAGTCGACAGAGTGGATATGAGATTTTGTAACGAAGATGTCCTTGAAGAATGCTGTGCTATGAGTCCCATCTTGGGGACAGGGTGAGTTCCTGCTCCCTCGTGTCATACTTAATAAGGGTATCTGTGCGGTGGCTGTTCCAAGAGTCTAACCTGAGACCCCTACAGTGTGGGGTGGGGTGGCCTGGGGTCTAGTCCCACCTGGGAAATCTAGTAGGGAGAGGAGGGCTAGCCGACTGCTTTGAGGGGGCCACTGCCACATCGTGGGGCCCGCCTGTACCTCCAGAGTCTTTCTGGGTAAAGGAAGCAGGACGGTTGCCTCTGGACAGAGGTGGGCACTGCGGTAGAGAGAGCCTGAGAGGACTCAATGTCTGGGATCCTGTGTGGGGATTCCAGTGGCAAAAGTTTGGCTCTGAAGGTTCAGGGGCTGAAGATGAGTCTCACATGACCACACAAAATGAGAATGGACTTGACATAGGTCCACAGGTTAGGGAGAACTCTGGGAGAGGAAGGCTGAGCCGGCAACCTGTGGAGAGGGCATCAAAGCACTCCACCAGAAAGAGGCAGAGTTTAAAATCTGCCCAGAAAGACAGTCTGAAGCTGACTTCATGGCAGCCGGTTGGGGGAGGCTGAGTGGGAAGAGAGAAGACCAGCCTCTCCACACTGTCCCCAGTGGAGGTTTCCAGCTGGCCAGGCCCAAGGAGTGGGGGCAGGGAAGAGAGAGAATCTAAGAATAAACTCAGAATTTTGATGAATACCTTGCATCAACATTCCAGTTTCTGAATCGAGTCTGCATTTGCAACTAAAAGTGACCACAGATTATTCTAAGAATGAGCAGAAAAATCTCAGGCTTGTTGGAGCTGTCCTCCAGGCTAGGGAGTGTGTCCCATCCTGAAAAATGATGGTGCAAGGAAATTGCACTGGTTACTTAAGGCTCTGAGCACAGGGCTTAGCAGCTGGGACACGCACAATAGCGCTTTGTCTCTCTGCCCCACTTACCTGATGGTCTCTGGTTCACAATCCGCTTTTACCCCGATACATTTTTCTCCAGCTCATAGGTTATGCCTGAAGCATGTTTGTTTGAATATCAAGGTCAAGTTCTCTCAGCAAAAGCCATTTCTTGCCACTGATTATCTTGAGCTTCATCTCCCTAGAAGTCTGATGACTTCCATGACAGGCACTCTCTTCCTGGTAGAGACAAGAACTTGATGTGTTTTCCCTGTCCTAGACAGAGGCATTGCTGCCCAAAGAATCAGGCCTGGAGATGGAGCTAGGCAGGCCAGCTCAGCCACTTAGCAATCATGTGGCCCCATTGATAGACTTAAGCTCTCTGCCCCCCTGGTTGTTCATCTGTAAAAGAGTTGATAATAAGAATGTGTATCTCATGGGTTAAGAGTATGCAATGAGGCCGAACACAGTGGCTTGAGCCTGTAATCCCAGCACTTAGGGTGGCCGAGGTGGGAGGACTGCTTGAGCCCAGGAGTTCAAGATCGGCCAACAAAAAACACAAAAATTGATCAGGTGTGGTGGCACATTCTTGTTGTCCCAGCTACTCAGGAGGCTGAGGAGGGAGGACTGCTTGAGCACAGGAAGTAGGGGCTACAATGAGTCATGATTATGCTACTGCACTCCAGCCTGTGCAACAGAGTGAGACTCTTGACTCAAAAAAAAAAAAAAAGGCAAGCCCCTCCGGTCCCCTCCCACTGTGAGAGCTTTTCTGTCTTCTCAATAAATCTTACTTTCAAAAAAAAAAGACAAAATAATATTTCATGAAATCACCTATGAGGCTAAACTCTAGGAAACTGTCAACATTCAACCATTTTTTATTCTACAAAAATAGCAGCTTCTGATGGCTCATCCTAATATGTAAACAATGCTAACTCTAAATTGCTAGTTATTGTGCTAGACAAACAAAATAGCACAACTGTAACAACAAAATCCTTCCATCCATGCTCCCTAATAATTCTCCAGAGTTCTACTTGTAGGGTTGTCTCAAGGAGCCTAGTGGGTGAAGTAGCTATGGCTGATGGACTTCTGAATACTCAAGACCTTCCTGGTTCCTTGTCAATTTCTTCCCATACCCAGAGAGCTCCCTCTTGCTCCTGCCAGTCTCAATGCAAAAACAAGCACAGACAAGTCCTTCCTGCACCTCCTGCCCTAATCACCTAACACTCTGAATCATATTCTGAAATTTCACTACAGAGTGTCTAAATGGGCATTTATTGTATTAATCCTGTTCAACACTCAGAGTATCCTCTCAGTTCTAAAGATCACGATTTTCTTCAGGTTTGAGTAATACTCATCTATTTTTTAAAAATATCTCGTCAGGTGCGGTGGCTCAAGCCTGTCTTCCCAGCATTTTGGGAGGCCGAAGTGAGAGGATTGCCTGTGTCCAGGGGTTCAAGACCAGTCTGGGTGTCTTGATGAGACCGCATCTCTACAATAAAATTAAAAAATCAGCCGGGTGTGGTGGCACGTGCCTGTAGCTCCAGCTACTTGGAAGGCTGAGGTGGAAGGATCGCCTGAGCCCAGCAGGTCGAGGCTGCAGTGGCCGTGAGTGTGTCACTGCCCTCCTGCCTGGGCGACAGAGTGAGAGAATCAAACTCAAAAAAAAACAAAAACAAAAACTCTCTTTCATCAGGTTGATACAGTAGACTAAAATGTAAAAATTAAAAACTTTCATATGAAAAAAGGACACTATAAACGCAATTTTGAAAAGGATTCAAAGAGATGACTCACAGAAAAGGAGTCCCAAATAGCCAACAGGTTGTGACAGGATGGTCAACCTTACTAGAAATCAGGGACATGCAAATTAAAATCATGATATTACGAGGAGGTATAATTTCTCACCCCTCAGACTGGCAAAGTTAAAAAGTCTGAAAATAATAAGTATTGGTGAGGATGAGGGAAAATGGGAGCAGCCACACACTGCTCATCAGAGTATAAATTGAAGAGAAATTTGGCAGAATTTAGCAAGATTGGAAATGCTGTGTGTATCTTATCATCCTGCAGTTCTCCTTCTAGAGAGACACCTGGAGAAACGCTTACCCATGTCCTTAAGGTGAGATGCACTATTATTACATTCTTTCATTATTTCATGATGGTAAAAATTTGGAACCACTGCATAGGTCCATCTATATACAAAGCACTATATTAAAAAGTAGTATAGTCAGTCATGCACTGAAAAATTCCACAACAATCAGGAGAAATTAACTGGCTCACTCCATAAACAAAGAGAATACTATGTTTTTACTTAAGTAAAAGTTAAAGCCATATACAAAACCATCATATATATTATAAAACATATATTGTTATGTTATGTATTGGATTGGGAAGATAGACAAAAATTTATGATGATGGTTGCTGCCCTAAAGGAAAGGAAGGAAACTGAGTTCAGTAAGTCCATTAGCCTTATTTATAATGTCTTAGTTTTAAAACTATTTTTAAAATTAGTTGAAGCACATCTAATAAAACTATAAATCGTCAGTATCGATAGGCAGTAACACAGCATTATATTATTTACTGTTCTATTTTGTAGCTGTAACATTTCTTTAAAAATTTTTTCTATTCTGTTTTCATCTTCTGGAACAACTATTAGAAGGATATTGAAACCATTTCCAAATCTCTTAAGTATATTAATGCATATTTTCTTCTGTCATACTCAATTTTCCAGCTCAATGCTTCTATTTTTTTCTAACCTCTTTTTTTTTTTTTTTTTTTACTCAAGACCTGGTGAAAGAGTGAATTGAACCTCTTTTAAAACAAACAAACAAACAAACAAACAAAAGCAATTGTCATAAGAACACTTAATATATCTCTCCTCTTAACAAATGTTTAAGTGTGCAATACCCCATTGTTATCTATAGATACAATGTTGCACAGCAGATCTCTGGAGCTTTCTTGATTGAACCTTTGTCTCCATTGGTTGGTAACTCTCCCAGCCTCTGGTAACCACCATTCCATTCTTTGATTCCATAAATTTGACTATTTTAGATGTCTCGTGTAAGTGGAATCACGTAATATTTGCTTCAGTGCTTATTTAACTTAGCATAATGTCCTCAAGGTTCATGATGTTGTCAGATATTGCAGAATTTCCTTCTTTTTTTAAGGCTGCATAGTACTCCACTGTGTGTGTGTGTGTGTGTGTGTGTGTGTGTGTACACAATATT